TAGTCCCTACATATCAAATATTACTAATTTAGTCCCCAATTATTATATCATTTTTCACAAATGGTCCTTTGTTAACGTTTTTGTTAAGAACGATAAAATTGTATCTTCATACTTCTCTCTCTCATGAATTAAGTTTCCTCCTTCCTCTTGTACTCTTTCCCAAACTTGTCGTTGAGTTTGAAGCTCTAAACTCAAAACTGAAATTATCATTCCTCTTCCAATTATTAATCTTCCTGGTGGAACCTAAAATCAAAACCAATAAGCTTTATAAATGAGTTTTATCGGTTAGTCTCAAGAAATTACAAAGAAATAAACATTAAAACTCATCCATGAAGGATACTGGTTTCGAATTTGGGTTCCACCAGTTAGACAAACAATTGAGAGAAGAGTGATGATTTCGGTTTTGGGTTCAAAGCTTCAAACTCAACGACGGATTTGGGAGAGGAGTGCGAGGGAAGGGAGTAAGCTTAATTGAGGAGAGAAAAGAGTGTGAATTTACAATTTTATCCACGTTCTTAACGGAAATGTTAACAAAGGACCATTCGTGAAAATGAGTATAATAATTGGGACTAAATTAGTAATATTTGATATGTAGGGAGGGACCTTTTATGAAATTTACTCTTAAACTAACGTCAACATTTGTGTTCTAGCTGCCAATAGATCAAAAAAAAAAACAAATGTGTTCCAGCATCCAAACAGTTTAAAAAATAGCACGGACCCATCTTGCAACGATGAAAAAATTGATAAACTTCAAATACTATCATTGGAAAAATTTATAATCGCTGCAAATACTACCGGTGCACAATTCTAATTTTGAAACATTTTCTTTATAACTTAAAGTCTTAATTTTTATTTTCTTTTAATTTCTTTGAACTTTTTTCCATTCTTTCTCGTTTCTTCGAATATCTTCTAATTTATCATTTTTTCCCAGTTTCTTACAATTTTTTTCAACTATTTCTATTCTCATCAATTTTTTCTACTCTCAAACAATGACTCTAAAAATAATGTATTTTTCATGTATATTATTATTATTTTGAACCGAAAGTGCTTCATTCATATCACCAAAACCCAAAACTTTTACAAAACAAAAGCACATACAACTAAAAAACTCCTAAACTACACTATCCTCTTACTTTCTATGAGAGTAGAACAATGAAATTTGATAGTGTTAATAATCTCTTTCAATTCATAGCCATCACTTTCTGCCGTTTCTGCCGAGTAGTAGTCTTCATAATGCATTGCCCAACCTGAATCACATCATTCTCTTCAATGTTGGTCTTCATCCATGTGGAGATTTGCATCATTACCTCTTGGGCAAATTCACATTTACCCCTGTTGTATAGTATAACAACCATCTTTAGACATGATATTACTATTATTATTGTTGTTGTTATTATTATTACATTCAGTACTATAGTTTATTTTTCCCATATCACTATTTGTGTGATTCACACTCATTATTATTTTCCTTTTCATTTTAATACAATTAATACAGAGTATAGTTTTATTGGGAAAATTGTTTTTTGTTAATTTACATGACACTAAACTACGTTCTAAAAATTAGGGATATTTTATTAATCTAAATTGACATAAGAAAAACATCAATATTTTAATTTTAAAAAATAATAATTGTGCTACTCCCACTTTAGCTAATTAAATGGCACATGCACAATTCACGTGGTCGAATTTTATTCACTTTCTTAACTTTTAATAACAATAATAATAATTACAATAACAATAAAAAATAATAAGAACAATTTTTAGAATATATTTAAATAAATTTGTGAAGTTTCTTCTAGTTTTTTTTAGTTTCTTACAGTTTCTTTCCATTTCTTTCAACATTCATCTTTTTAAAGCATAATACTATTACACTATTATATACGTAGCTCAATACCATCAACAGCTTCTTTTTCGTTTAGACTTTAGAGGTTAAATCTATTGTTCAAGTTCACAAGCGTAGGAGGATCCATGAATCGAGAAATATGGGATCTCATTTCTTAAAAAAGATGAACTCCCTTTAATGCATGCATATGCTTACTACTCCGGGTACGATAGACTTTGTGCATTCTATTACTATTGCATAATGGGTAAGTGCAAACTGCAATGATGAAAGGCTAGAAAATAAATTACTATAGTTGCATTTAGAGTATGATTACAAGTAGACCCAATCACGGGTCCAGGTATCTGGCCTGTGCGAAAAAAGTCCGCCCGTAAAATAACGGGCTTTGACTTGATATTTAATGGTATGGGCCAGACATGGGCTTATAAATGATGGCCCAAATATTTTAGGGTCGAGCTCGGATTTATGCTCAAGCTCACGGGCCGGGCCGGCCGGAATGAATTAAAATTTTATTATTAGTATAATTAATTTTAATAATATAATAATAACAACATTAATATTAATAACAATAAAAAGAACAATAATATTATTTCAAATTATTATAAACACACAAATATACTTTTATGGAGAAATGTAAGTATATTTCATAAATTGAATATATCATTATTACTACGTATCACACATTGACAATGATATTCTAATAAATAATACTTCATACTCCATAAATAGTAGCAATATCAAACAAAATACGGAGTGCATTTTATATATTAGTTGTTCTTTCATTTACTAATTATAGTTATTATATCATATATCTAATACATAAACACATTACTTTATTTTTAAAAAAATTTATTTTTTTTATTATTTAGAAGTTTTTGTCGTGTGAACCGGGCCGGCATGAAACTCGCGGGTATTCAAGTGGGCTGGGCTCAGGCTTCAATTGTTAGGCCTGCTATATGGGCCAGGCTAGGCTCTTATGGCTTGTTTCTGAAAACGCAAAAAAGAGTTCCTTGTTCTTTTGAATGCTTTTGTTTAGATTTTTAGTCAATTCATCATCCTACAACAAAACACAAATATAAATAAAAAAGGTAATTGGACTTCCACCAACTTTGCCTTCCAGGAGAGAATCTATATAAGAAGAGACTCTACGAAGTTAGGTCTCGTCATATTTCGGAGACCTAACTTGGCACGCATATAACTACGAGTAGGGACGATTATTCTAACCGAATATGACATTTAATGATCCAATCGAAGTTTATAATATCCAAGTCCCTACCAAAAAATTAATTATCCAAACCCGACCTAAACACGACTACAAATGTGCTTTTAAAATCCTAAATTCCTATATTTCATGTGTTTTTGATACATATGTTCTAAATTTTTTAAAACATACTCCCTCCGTCCCTAAATAAACTTCCTCTTTCGTTTTTTCTTTGTCCCCAAATAAACTTCTTTTTTCCTTAAAAAACTCCTTTTGCCCCTTACTTTTTCATACTATACCTATCACATCATATCTTTTTATTAATAATCTACATATCACATCTTACTTTTACACATCCCATCAAAGATATTTTTGGAAAGTCAATACCAAAATATCCCTCCCTTAAATCCTTAAAAAGTCAAAAACGGAAGTTTATTTAGGGACGGAGGGAGTATTACATTCTTTGTGTGTTTTATTTTCTATCATGCAGAAATCTTATAATATCTCTATTTTCAATTCTTTGTGCTCCATATATTATTATATTATTAGTTAAAAGTTTACTATTTAATTTTGATAGATTCATTCGGTCATACGGAGTAATTACTTTTACATACTACGTATATCTTTATCTTTATGTAATCTCCAACCCCAATTAAATGACCTCCCTATGCACGGTTAATTCCGTGGTTGCAAAAAAGTTAAGTTTCCAACCCCAATTTAGTAAGAAATATGGGTGAGCAAGTACCGAACCGATACCGAAATTTCCCGAAAAAACCGAGAATACCGAACCGAAAAATACCGAACCGAAAAAATACCGAGAAGGAACCGAACCATACCGAACCGAATGGTCGGTACGGTATTTGGGAACGGTACGAGGGGACGTCCCATACCGAAAATCCCGAACCGAGCATATATACTAAAATATTATAAAAAATAATATCCCGGAGTAATATTTTTATATTCCTTCACTAAAAAATACTCCGGGTAATTTTTTTTTAAAAAAAAATTGGTTCAAGTAAGTTTTTGTGTATGAACATAAAAGTATTCACAAAGATTTGAAATACTCCTTTATTGTCATTCATTTTTTTAGTTTGTGAAATATAAACTAAGTTTTGATACACATCTCTTGCATTTAAATATTCTTTTTTTTAATTTTCATGTTTTTTTAAATTCACTTTTTAATTTTCAAAAATAAAGGGGCATTGTTAAATTTTAACGTGTAAATTAAAGTAGGTATGTATATTCATCCCGATTTGTACCGAAACCGATACCGAACTATCACGAACCATACCGAACCGATATTTCGGGATCGGGATCAGTACGGGGTAAAATCCCATACCGAACCGAAATACTTGGTACGGTATCGGTACGAGCTAAATACCATACCATACCGTACCATGCTCACCCCTAGTAAGAAATATTTGCATTAAATAACACTAAAACTTAAGTCATTTTTCTAAATAGCATTTAAGTTGTTTTATTCTCTAAATGACACTTAATAATATACATAATGTCCAGTGATGGAAAATATTTACTTAAATAATGACTAATAAATAATGACTAAAAGTGTTACATTGGAAAAAAACACACGTGATGCTATTTAGGGAAAGTTATTATATTTTAGTGCTATTTAAGTAAATTTCTCATTTAGTAATTGGCTTCTTCCACCAAGGCAACCAACTCCCGAGTTTGAAGCATGAGACTTCTGTAAATACCTGGCACAGAATTTCACTATTATGTCAACTAACCGAGATTATACTTTAAATTACCTTCTGAGGGGTCATTACAGATAAGATTATTTTTTTTTACACCAACCCCCACCAACTCCCGTTGGGCCCACGTTGCCGCTGACATGTCACTTTGTCAAGTTTCCAACTCCCATTGGAAAACAAAAAAAGCCAATTCACATCTCTCACTGTTTTGGGCTCTATAAATTTGGGGACAATTTCCATCCAGAGAAGGCCAACCCAATACTTCATCTCCCATTCTTATCTTCTTCTTCTCCACAACTCTCATAGCCATTTTCAAGATTTCTTTTTTTTTTTCTTTTCTTATTTAATTAAAACTATAATTAATAATTATGGGCAGCTTAGAGGCAGAGAGACAAACAGTGGGGTGGGCAGCAAGAGACCCATCTGGGATTCTCTCCCCATACACCTACAATCTCAGGTACACAACATCCATTCCAACCATTGATTTTTTTCACTGCTTTAATTTGTAATTTACTCACCAAATTAAAGACAAAAAAGAATGTAAAGATTGTAACTTTATGGTGAAATATGGTGTGGGTTTGCAGGAAAACAGGGCCTGAAGATGTTCACATAAAGGTTTTGTGTTGTGGCCTCTGCCATAGTGATCTTCATCAGATCAAGAATGACTTGGGCATGTCCAATTATCCCATGGTCCCTGGGTATATTTTCTCCTCCAATCTATTTTTTTTTTTTTAAATCATTGATCTTATTGAATAATGAAAGATTTATCTCTATATATATAGGGTTAATCTTAGTATAAGAATTATAGTAACAATTTAACCATAACTTCATATGATCCAAAGTGACAATCAGAATTTATGAATTTCTAAAATCAACACTTCTTAATTATGTAAAAATATGAGTCATTAAAAGAAGCGAAAATGTGGGTTTGACCAGAGAATTGGTTTCCACGGGTCACTAATTCAACCATTGACATATTCATCCCACGCTTAACGGTACATACGAAACCTATGTTTTTGTTTGTGTATTGTACGTGTTTTTGACTGTGTGTGGGTGAAGGCACGAGGTGGTTGGGGAGGTGGTGGAAGTGGGGCCCGACGTCGGGAAGTTCAGAGCGGGGGACAACGTCGGGGTGGGGCTGATCGTGGGGTGCTGCCGGGAGTGCCGCCCCTGCAAACAGGGGATTGAACAGTACTGCAACAAGAAGATATGGAACTGCAATGATGTCTACACTGATGGCAAGCCCACCCAGGGCGGCTTCTCTTCCCACATTGTTGTCGATCAAAAGTAAGTAATTAAAGTTGCCCTAATGACATTTTTTTTTGCTCTTGAACTCTTCATAAATTGCGCGGAGTTTTTTTTCTATAGAACTTCAAAAATTGCACCGATGGTCCTAAATATTCAAAAACGTTGCATTAATGGTCGTCCTTATGTGCAAGATTTAAGAATACATTAATGCCGATTCCAGGCAACTGCGCTGGGAGGCAAGTATGCTAAGCATAGGACCTCTGCACGTATCAGATGCAGGCTCCACTCTTTGCCACCAATCTGCGATCAAATCCAATGTACATCCTCTCAATGACCGTCCGGTCGGATTTGAGGGGACCCTCGGGGATGGGGCTCATCCTTTTAAAAATACATTAATTACACGCTCATTAATATACACGTTGACGGAAAAAACTTGTTCTAGTTGATCTAATCTGTTAGTAGTTGAATATTGGGATGATCAATAGTTAATTTTTTCTTATTTTGATGATGTAAAAAAGGTTTGTGGTGAAAATACCGGAGGGATTGGCGTTGGAACAGGCGGCGCCGCTTCTGTGCGCGGGAGTGACGGTGTACAGCCCATTAAACCACTTTGGGCTGAAACAGAGCGGGTTGAGGGGAGGAATATTGGGCCTGGGAGGGGTGGGCCACATGGGCGTGAAGATAGCGAAAGCAATGGGCCACCACGTGACCGTGATCAGCTCGTCGGAGAGGAAGAAAGAGGAGGCGCTGAACCACCTCGGTGCCGACGGTTACTTGGTGAGCTCAGACGCGGCGGGAATGGAGGCGGCCGCCGACTCGCTCGACTACATCATTGACACTGTTCCGGTGGGCCACCCCCTCGAGCCCTACCTCTCTTTGCTCAAGGTGGATGGGAAGCTCATTTTGATGGGCGTGATCAACACCCCTTTACAATTCATTTCCCCTATGGTCATGCTCGGTAAGTTTGACATCAAAATTTGACCTGTCTTTCAAGCCAAAAATTATCTTCTCTCTTTGACTTTACACACAAAATAATGAAAAGTATAAAATGTTTTGACTGTCTATATTTGTCCTTGAATCAGTGCAATAATTTAACGTGTATTATGGCGCAGGGAGGAAGACCATCACGGGAAGCTTTGTAGGAAGTGTGGAAGAGACGCAAGAAGTTCTCGAGTTCTGCAAGGAAAAGGGTCTGAGCTCCCAAATCGAGGTGGTGAAGATGGATTACATCAACACGGCGATGGAAAGGCTGGAGAAAAACGACGTTCGGTACAGATTTGTGGTGGACGTTGCGGGAAGCAAACTCGTCGACAACATTTAGATGCCAAACACAACATTATTATGGCTTTATTTATTGGGCAATGCTAGGGGTATACCAACATGGGGTACCCCAAGTGTACACCAAGCCAACACAGACACACAGACACCAAATGTCTGTGCAACACAGACACTTTGTGTCTGTGTGTGTCTGTGTTGGCTTGGTGTACACTTGGAGTACCCATGTTGGTGTACCCCTAGCTATTTATTTATTTGACCATAAGGTATAAGAGCGAAATCTTTCATACATATATGTAGATGGTCATAGTGTGTGGCTTTGTTTGTTTCCATTTGTTATCCTTCTTTGTGTCACAAATATATTTTTAGTCAAAAAGAGTTTTTTTTTGGTTTGTCCAAATAAAAATGATATTTTGTCAAGCATTTCTCCACCATTGCACAAAAAGGGAGTTATGTTTATTGTTGGTGGCCAACTTTGCTTTGAATTGAAGGGAGTGAAAGGTTGGTCAACAACCGACCTAGTTATGCCATGTTTGACAAATTCAAAATTTACTCCTACTTTACAACATTTAAAGTAACAGTGGGAATGTTTTATTCCATAATTTTTAGAGCATCTTTAATACAAGCTGTTTACTACTCTATCCGTCCCAAATTATTTACCACATTTGTATTCCCGAGGCAAAATATCAAGTTTTTTCAATTCATTTTATCTACATATTGGTAAAGAAATAAAAAATAAAATTTACATATAAAAAAACTACATGAAAAGTTCTTCAAAATAAGAGGTGTCAAGAATATTTTATTTTATCAAATAATCAATGAAAACGTCGAAATAAACAAAAGTTCCCGACACTAATAAAAAAGCAAATGTTGTGAATATTTAGAGACGGAGGAAGTATGTATGAGTTTCTTATACTCCATGTGTCAAATTAGATTACCCAATTCAAAGATCATACAAAATTTCATACTTTTAAAATTTAATTTATTTAGAAATTAGTACATTATTGCAAATATGTATTTTAAAAAAATATATCAAAAATTCTACAATATAGTAGTGTCAAGAATATTTTATTTAAGTCTAAATAAAACAACAAATGAAATTTATTAAGTGGACAGAATAATATCTGTGTAACCTATTTTGGGATAGGAGTAAATATTCTAAGGTACTCCTGGATAAAAATTGCAGAGTGGACTTGTAATATACACGGAAGCATCATTACTTCAATTTGTTTGAAGGGTGCTTCACCATGTACTCCCTCCCTCTCTAAATCATTTACTCCCTCCGTCCCAAATTATTTGTCACATTTCTATTACCGATGCAAAATATCAAGCCTTTTCAATTCATTTTATTTACATGTTGGTAAAGAAATAAAAAATAAAAATTACATATAAAAAAACTACATGAAAAGTTCTTCAAAATAAGAGGTGTCAAGAATATTTTATTTTATCAAATAAACAATGAAAACGTAGAAATAAACAAAAGTTCCCGCGACTGTTGAAAAAGCAAATGTGGCAAATAATTCGGGACGGAGGGAGTATTTTTTATGCAAAACGAAATAAAATTTTAATATTTTAGTTCATTTTATTTAAAAATTAGTATTTAAATAAAAAATAAAACTCACATATTTAAAGAATACATCTAAAGTTCTAAAAAACAAGAGGTGCTAAGAATATTTTATTTCATTAAATAGTCAATAAAATAACACAAATAAACAAAAGTTTCTGCAATTTTTAAATAGTAAAATGTGTAAATCATTTAGGGACTGAGAGAGTATGTAATAATAAAAATTACTGGACTTATTAAACATTCTAAGCAACTTTTTATGAAACATACTCTTTGTGCAATTTATATTACAACTTGGAAAAACTTACTCCTACTTCACATGATGTAAAGCAATACAATGTACAATGTTTTAGTTTTAGTGCAATTTTATAACTTGTAGATTTTTCTTAGATAGAAGCAGAAAATACTGATGACAACAAATTAGAGCTGACAAATCGGTTGATGATTGGTCGACCGATAATTTCAGAACTTGAAATTGCATGTGTGCATTATAAATTTAGTGGCGTGTAGATATTTAGGCAAAGAGTCCTGTCATTCGGTCCAGACCGTTTTGGTCTAAAACCAAATATATTTAGGGCAGGACTGTCTTGTTTGGTCTTTGATCTAGTCCAACTCGGTCCGGCCGAGTTTGGATAAAATTGATGAACACGTGTACCCGTCATTTTATTTTTAAAACTTGGCAACCGTTATTTTAGTCTATCATTAAGCTTATGGAAAGTACAAAATCAAAAGTATTTTAAAAGCTAATGGAGTTAGTTTAGTGTGCAGAGTGAGTTTAGTTTTCTGATGAAGTGTGACTATAACTTAAATCAAATATGTCACCCCATTTGTTTCAATCAAGTTGTCTATTTAATTTTCAGAAGGTCAAAATTTATTAATTTTTTTCTTATTTTCATTACTTATTTAATAAAATAATATATAATAATAATGCCACTTGTTTCGTAAAATTTTTGATGTAGTTTTTAAATATGTAAACTATAATTTTTAATTTTATTCCAATTTTTAAATAAATTATTATAAAATAATTTAAGCCAAAATCATAAACTAAAACAAACTATTTAAATTAAGACAAAAAGAGAATGGATTTTCTTTTTTTGCAAGACAAGGTATCTGTTCCTCATCAGCCTGGTCTCCCAAATTAAGTTGAGTTTAGAGCTATTCATACTTCCCTTACTCCACTTCCACGTACATTATTTACCAGCTTATATTTCTTTTTATTAACCTTCGTTTTAAAATAAGATTCTTGTTACGATATTTAACAAAAAATATTCTCAATTTAAATAAAAATCGGCATAATTTTTAAAAAATAAAATTTATAGAGTAGTTTTGAAAACTACATCGAGTCATTCAAATGTCAAAACAATAGAGAGTATAATTTCATCAAATGACCATTGGAAATAGAAAAAAAATATTACTTCCATCTCTGTGTATTTGTCCACTTTTGAATTTTTTTAGTCAATTGTTTTCAACATTTAACATATAATTAAATAAAATATATATTATATATTGATTCGATAAAATAATATTTTGAAATATTTGATATTATCAATCTAATAAAACTATTTTAGTATTAATATCTAATATCATTTTTATTTAATTTGAGATCAAAATTTATCAATTTTGACCAAAAAAGTTAAAAGTAAACGAATATTCAAGAGCGGAGGAAGTGGGAATTTTGGAAAATACCCGTAAGAGGATATCCATTAAAATCTTGCATTTGAGACATTTAGTGCTATTGATAGTATGATTGCATAATTTGTCAATGGGTAGGTTGATGGTATTGGACGAGAAAATGTGGAAAAGTCAAGCTAGAAATAGTTGAAATGTACACGCAATATAGACACACAATTGCTCCAAAGTCAAGCTACTCCTTACTCTCAAATACAAGCTCTCTCTCTTATATCTTTCTTCTCATTTAACTTTAATCATTAAATAAACTTAGCCACTAATATTTATATTTAAATTATAAATAGGTATAGATATTGTAAAAATATTATACTCCATATTTTGAAACCACATTTCAAGATCGGAGGAGGATGCCAAATCCAATGGCCGAAGAAGAGGTAAACTGCGAATTATATGTACTCATATTGAATAAGCTACTCCTTATATGTCCCCTAATAATGTAAAAGTCCACATCAGAGTGGCAGCTTTTTAACAAGTTCCAATCTGAGCTAAGATAAGATACGCTAACGACACGCCACTACAGATCCCCCCCACCCCACCCCACAAGAATGTCATATGACTCACTCACCGCATCGCTCAAAATTTGGCCGCGATCATGAAATTCTGCTAAAATACAGGTTCATGAAATATCTTGATGGGTTGAAACCACTCAATATAACTGCAAACAAGAAAATGTTGTCACAGCATTAGATATTTCCTTACAACGAAAAGGTAAAATAACGCTTCCATTCAAAATTTATTTTTGCCCCAAAAGAAAAAAGAGTCATATTTCAACAAAAGAAGCTGGCTTTCATTCCTGATGAAACAGTGACTTGTTCAAGAATGACTCTTGTTTCCTTCGCAGAAGTATACCCACTTCATGGAGTTTGAGAAAAGTATTGAAAAGTGAAACATGTGTGGTTGAAAAAGTGAAAAAGTGTAAATTTCATTTTGGTATATCCAAAAGAGGAACACGTTAACTTCACTTTGGGACGAAGGAGTAAACATTTTGGGAGCAGGGGTAAGTATATAAGAAAGAAAGCAAAGACCAGAGAAGTGATACTTACAAATAGGCGAAAGGACAATAACTATGCCAATTGGGTACAAGAAAAAAGTGGTCCTTTCCAGGAAGGGCAATACTGTACCACGAGACGAGTAAAATTATTAGAACTTTTCATTTGAGGACTGTATACCTAGCGAGTAAGAATGGAGCAACCGAGGAAGTGAGTCTTACCATCATAGCCTAAGAAGTTGAGGTAGTGGTAGTAGGAGGTAGCAACCATGAAGAGCACATTCGACAGTAAAAGGGGAATGAAACCGTGAGCAACCAAAATTGGGGATATAAAATAATGCAGGACTGCACAAGAAAAAAGAAGAAAAAACATGTGAAACATTCCAACATTCGGGGGTTAACATTATCTGTTTTGAAAAATGATTGTTACCGTAGAGCATGATGAACACTGGGAAGAAAGAATTGCAGTGGACATCAAATGCATACAACCTTCACAAGACCAAAAAGGTTACTATAAATGGAGCAAATATAATCCAATTTCAAATCAATTAATATATTTGCAAGAGTGGAAGAATACCAGCAACAACATAAATAATTTCTTAATCCAAATTCATTTATAGAAAATAATAACATAATTACTAATAGGAATTTTTTTGCCTTGGCAACAGTAACAGATCAATGGTAATTTCAACATACTCCGTATTAAATTAGAGAAATAAAATTGAAGGCAAGGAAAGAAATTAGCAAATACAGGAGGGAGAGATACCAAAACTTACCATTCTACCCGTTGTTCCACCACATGACTGTTGGGAGCTTCCTCTCTAAGATAATTGTTGGTCAAGAACCTGCAAGGACAGTAACTTTAAACTTTCCAAGACAGGCTTTTTCATTCCAGAAATGACATCTATAATTCTGTATTGAATAGCAAAACAACTCCACAACATAACATGACACACCGTTTAGCCCAATCAGTGAGAAAATAACATATGGGCCAAGCATAGACAAATAGCCAGAAAAAATAAGCATAAGGGCTAAGCATGACACACCATTTACGCCAATTACAGAAATAATAACATAAGGATTAACAATAGGCTCTCTTACCAACAGCATGTTGACAACGCAGCTCCAGTTATTAAAAAATGAAAAAGAAAAATAGAAATGACCACAAAAATTGTATGCCCCACACTGTGATCATACCTGAAACAAGAAAGAAAGAAAAACAAACAACATGCTTCAGTAGAACCATACACAAACAAAAGACTGAATATTTATTTGAGAAGAAATCACAAAGTCAGAAGCCATGTTATGACATATACTTTTGGAGAATCATGATGAATATAACTAATAAAAATGTAGATTAAGATATACTACTTCGTATCTCATTTGATGTTTTATAGTCTCTAAGACTTGGATTGCCGTCATTACAGTTAATACAGCATTATAATCGCAAATATAAAGATCAACTAGTGGATAACTATAAGTGACAATTTCAGTATTAAGAGCATAAATTTAGCATTCAGTAAAGGACAATTTCAGTAAGGCTTAAAGATATCTTATATCATAAATAGAAATGAATACATACGCAGCACAGTACGCTAATGTAGAAACCAACAAAAGAAGACTGCATATAACAATGAAGGCAGGATCATCACGTGCCCATTGATTCTTAGTTTCTGCAACCAAGAAATATAGTTTGAAAGGTTAAGTTAAAACGCAATGAATAGAAAGAATTATACAGAGTAATATAATAGCTATTAATATAATAGGCAGTAGTCAACAAAAGAATCTAACTGCCAAACATTGCCAAATCTCTAACATAGAAAAAGCTCAAAGTTAACATATAAATTACACAAACAAACTATCAAGGGAGTGGCATGTTCTGGAAATGAAATATAACACTTCATTAACTTAGCTCAGTGAACAATCTAATTTCTTGTTTTCAATTTTCTGGTACGACGCTTACAATGCTCTTTGCTTAAGAATTAACTTACATAGGGATTTGATCTTAGTCTGGCAAGAAAGAAAAGACCGAACAGAAAAACATGCTTTAAACACAAATAATTGAGTTAGTAAACTCCTTACAGGAAATCACACATAAATGCATTAGCGTATCAGCTGTAATAAGCCCCCTAAAGAAATTGATTTAGTAATGTAGTACAATGGATATTTTCTTTCAAAAAAGCAAGTACAAAATGTTTGCAAAAAGAAAGATACAAAAATATAAGACTTACGTTTGTGGTATTTAGTGTGCTGATATCTGGATCCGTAGAAGCATTGCACGTGCAACATGCAAAAGTAAAAATAAAGAATATACAACTTAAGAGTTAAGAACATAGTTTAGCTCGTTGGATTTCTCAAAATTCTTGTTCTTATTACATGTTTTTATTAAATAAAAAAACAAAATTCTTGATGCTATCCATTTGTGATTCAGCACGGGAGGGGAGGGAGAGATTTTAAAATTTCATCAAATAAAAAAAATTCTTGATGCTATCCATTTGTGATTCAGCACGGGAGGGGAGGGAGAGATTTTAAAAACACGCCTTTTATCAATGAACCTGCGATGTTGTCAGCACGAAAATGTCATACAAATTCATAGATCTAGAAATACTAACACCACTTTTGGAGAGGTACATAGGTGGAGCATTTGCCAGAAAGTATATTCAATGTCCATTTGTTGCCACTGCAATTTTTAACGTAAAAATTACTAAATGGCCAGACATGAATAATGAATAGTGACTGAAATGATAACCACACAATACATTTATACATAATAAATTTAAGTAAATGAAGGTTAGAATTGATTTGAATACATAAAGATGCAATATTGCGAGGTGCAAGTGATTTTCAAATTTCAACCTTGCTGGAAAATATGAAACATAAATCCTAAATTTTGAAGTGACATTGTGTTTTGAGGATCTATGGCTTGCAAAGGATTAGGAGAATTATCATATAGGCTTTTCATTGGTAGAAGAAAGTAGCATCCATGAAAGCAATACTGTCACAAATTTAAGGAAGCTCACACATCAGGCTCATAACCAGCAAAAAAACACTTGCTACCGTATTTCCTAAAGATAATGTATGTGAATAATTTTAATTCCACTTTCAACTACACACAAAAGTTTGGATCTCACTCCACTATTATGAACATCAATTTCAGGCATTAGTTACTTGTGTGAATGACGACGTACATCATGACCTGTGCTTTGCCATTCACATAAAAAAACCCTACATTTTTCTTAAAATGCTACTCGCACAATCCAACATTTATACCACTTTCACCAAATGCTTCTAGAATGTGAGCTAATCAAGCCGTGGCTAACATGTAGAGCTCCAAATTACAGTCCAGAATGGACTACTATTCATGCTAACATGTAGAGCTCCAAATTACAGTCCAGAATGGACTACTATTCATAACTCATCAATCAATCATCACACCAAATCTCAACAAAAATGTGATGCGGAAAAAGAGATTCGTTTCCCAAGTAGAGAGGGATAATTTCGAGTTACCAATGCACAAATTAGGGATCTGATCTATACATGTTGCAAGACAAAGTAAAGGTGACAAAACACGCCAGCGTATTAGCATGTGTATTGATGATGAGAACAAGATATAATTGAAGCACGCACAAATCAAAACAAATGAGCTGGTAATAAGATGAGAAATGGGAACCTTGACAATTCTACGGAGGTACTGAGGGAGAACGGAATTGGGCCGGGCGCGAGAGCTTGTCCGCCCTTTCGATGAAGATGTGGGAAGCATATCGCCGGTGCTGTTTCAGCTTCTGCTGCTTCTTCTATTTGATCGGAGATCTTCGCCGGTTGAAGCTTGGGACTCTTCTCCGGTCGGTCGGGCCCTTCGAGCGATTCGTCTCTCTCTGGACGGAAGATTCCAGACCGCTATTTTTGACGCTCGGTGAACAAACTCGATCCAGCCCAATAATTACAGCATTAGGCCCACCGGCGGGGGAAAATTGGATTTTTTTTGACGTATAGTGGATAATCACAATTAGGCCCACAAATTGATCCAGTTTTTTAATTTCTCCATTTTAACAAGATTATTTACAAAATTATCTTTTACTATTTATGAATCTTTACAAATGATTTATCTATCATTTAAATCTTTTTATTTCGATGAAAGAATATTTTATTTATAAGCAACTTATAAATTAAAAACTATGTATCAACAATAAGTCAATAAGCACCGTCATAGAAAAACACTCCCATAATACGAAGTATCACGCATTAGACATTTACATTGCCTCATTTGTAAAAAATGATGAACTTAATGACTTTTATCTCTTAACTTCCCACTCTTAAGAAAAAAGAATGGAAAACGAGAGACTTTAGTGAAATTATAAGAGATACAAATCATTATTTTTACAAACGGATGATCAGTACAAATATATGATGAAGAATACCGAAAATCATGTGTTAACAACACTCATTTTGTCCCAAATTTATAAAATCAAGTAAACTTTTGTTTCGTACTTTTGATGTATTTTTTTAGTATGTAATTTTTTTAAATTTCGCTCTAATTCTGTAATAAATTACATTTAAAATAATTACAGTTAAATATCATAAATTGAAATACACTAATTAAATTAGGACGGAGGAAATTGAATTTTGGATATGGATATTTTTAACCAATTTATAAATGAAACCTATTTTGAAAGAGATAAAATTTTGTATGCTGTTGGAATTCTTAGATATGATGAATTCCTTGAACAATTTGATACAAAAATGGCGATGAAGAATGAAGAACGAAGGAAAATAAGAAAAACAGTCTTTATTGATTATCGAATTTGCAGAGAAGAAAACTTGTCTTGGAATTAAGTCCACACACAGTATTTATACAAGAGAGGAAAGAAAGCCACGTCACTAACAGAAATAACAAACTTAACAAATTGAAAAACTGAATTTAACAAGAAGTAAAACTGAGCTAAGCTTTCCCAACACCCCCCCTCAAGTTGGAGGGAGCTTGAACCCCCAACTTGGAAACAAGATGATTATGCACAGCACTGGGAAGACTCTTAGTGAAGAGATCAGCAATTTGGGCAGAGCTGGGAACATGATGAAGTGTAATGAGGCCATCCTGTAATTTTTCTCGTACAAAATGACAATCCAACTCGATGTGTTTAGTACGTTCATGATACACAGGATTATTAGCAATATAAATGGCTGCCTTGCTATCACAACGAACTGGAATAGGAGTAATGTCTGGAACACCCAAATCAGAGAAGAGACGAGAAAGCCAAGCTAATTCAGCAGTGACTCTGCGAATGGAACGATATTCAGCTTCAACTGAACTGAGGGAAACAGTGGCTTGTTTCTTAGATTTCCATGAGATAGGAGTACCACCTAAGAGGATGAAATAACCACTCACAGAGCGTCGTGTATTGGGACAAGCTGCCCAGTCTGAATCACAATAGGCTTGTAACTTGAAATCAGAAGAGGCAGTAAACAGAAGTCCTTGAGAAGGTGTAGAACTCAAATATCTCAAAGTGTGTTGAGCAGCTTCCCAATGAGGAAGGCGAGGATCTTGCATGAACTGGCTTAAAAACTGAACTGCGTATGCAATGTCAGGTCTGGTGTGAGT